TGAGGGGCATACACGTACATGTAATAAAATAAATGAAAACTTTGGATTGCATTGTACTCTCATAGTTTCTATCATCCTATAATATAATCGTTTATATAAAATGTCTCGTTCAATAACAACCATTTTCGGTTAATATGTAAATTCAGAATAGATGTATCGTTGTATTTTATGCTTTGTTTCTCTTTTTTTTTCTGTGTTTAAAAACTAAGAACCAGATATCTTGCAATGAAAAATTGTTCTTGATATTCATTATAAAAATAAATAGAAAAATGGAAAACTTGCAAAAATAACTTGATTCAATTCGAAATCACTACGAAATAACTTAGACTCAACTCAACTAGAAAAACAGATCGACTCACTCAACCCTGCAAAGTCTTTTATTTCCAAACATGTACTTTTTAATTTATATTCTTGATCATTTTATTTCTTTTTTTCCTTCATCTTATTCAAGATACACGTACGTGCATTTTTTAGAACATATCTTACTTCTTTTATTGAGAATTGATCACAATTTCTGCATCTTCTTCTTTTCTTATTCTTATTTATTGTCTTTTTTTTTATGAAAAAAGCACAATAAATAAATAGCTATTCGTCTATTTCATAAATAGAAAGTAAAAATAGTAGAGTATGCCATATTCAATATAGAAATATGAAGAATTCAATGTGGATAAAATGTGATCAAAGTTCGAAAAATAAAAACTTCGACTGATTTTGGACATAAGCAACAACGAAAGAAAGTTAAAATAATACTACTGTTAAAAACTAATTATCGCTGAAATCAAGAGTATATATTCTCTAAAAATCTAATCTTTTTCTAATAAAGTAAAAAAAAGCCTCACACAAATAGTCATATGCAGAAAAGCCCAACAAAATATTTTTTTGGTTGCTTTAAAGAAATTATACTTCTACAATATACAACCTATACAGAACTGTTTTACGCTCTTTTTAAAAGATTTAATTTTTCATCTCTTCTTTTAAAGAGAATATCACCCTTCTGCAGTACAAAAAAAATGAAAAAGTAAGGGGTCGAACCACTAGAAACAACTGACTTAACTTAAGGTTGAATTAAATAATGTGATTGGTTAAGTCACTTTTTCTAGTGTGTTTGACCCCTGAGACTTATTAGATAAGATTTTGATTTTCTCTTCTTAGAAAAGTTTCAGAAAATTGAATGAACGTCAAATTGAAAAAGAATCAAGTTAAAAATGTCATTATAAAAACACAGGGTTAAATATATTATTCTTTATAAAAAAAATTATCAGCTGGAAAAAGTACCATACAACTCTGTTTTCACAAAGTAGCTCCAAATAATAGTCCTCTTTGAATTAGATTATCTAAAACTTTCAAAATTTTTCATTGACAACTAAGGATATCTACTGATAAATTTTCCTATAATGTATAGAAAATAGGTATACTATGGACTAATAGACTTGACTTATGCTCACACCAACTTATGCTCACTTCACATGACCATCTTCCAATATGTATATTTGAAATTGATTCGATAGTTCATCGGGCTATAGGCCCACACTAATATATAATTCTTAGGTATATTCTAAATATCATTCTGATTGTTTTTTTTCTCCGAACTACTATAAAAAATCATTATCATGGAGTACAAGAAAGAAAAAAAACACGAACATGCCATCAGCAGGGTACGGAGTGAATAGATAGAAAAAAAAGACTTCATTGTATTTTACATTTTATTTTGTTTATATGTATGTTATCGACTGCTGAATTTATGAATGATTTCCATCATCAACACCTGATGTTATTGAATATGGCATATGGCATATTCCATTTGTTAGCATGTGTGTTTGCGATTGTTGTTGTTGTTGTTGTTGTGGCCAACGAGAATTCGCCATGAGATTGTTTCCTGAGAATAAGGTAGAGAATTTCTGGGATTGCATAGTCGTAGACCATTTGGTGGTGGTGTTGTATCAAGTTTATTATCAAGCAATATAATAGCTGGATCTGTCCATAGTAAATTTATCCAACGATCATTTGATGGTACTAATATAGAAACAAAAGCTATTAGTACAATGCTTGCAGGATTTAAATGTGAAAGACGATTTAGTTGCTGTTGNCTCCAAGTACTCCTTCGACAACAACTAAAGCTATTGATGGTGCTAGATAGATCATCATCTACGTACGGTTTGAGTAAATAAAAATAACTTCGATAAAAAGTGTCATCGAAGTTGTAACTTCGATAAACATGCTAACTTCGATACGACATATATATATATATATATATCAATCAGCGATATCTGTTAATAACCAATCGAATAGATATTTATTTCTACACCAATATTAATATGACAATAGAGGTATATTTAATAAAAATGATGTTACAGTGCAAAACTAAAACAATGAAGATAAAAGACAAATATATAGTCTAGTTTATTTTTCAATATCTTATGCCATTGTGTTCGGTTTTGTTTCTCATTAATTTCTCCTTTTTTAAAACTTTTTATTGTTTATTCTTCCGTTTCACATATAAATTAGTTGCATAAAAAACAAGAGATATGTTTTATTTTTTCGTTGAATAATAGATAGTCATGATGAAATTCATTAAATGATATAAATAATAATTAAAAAGAATTTTCGATTTTCTCATAGAATAAAATTTATCTCTAATTTGAATAATTAATTTGCTTATTTATTCTATATATATGTCGTATTGAAGTTACACCGGTCGACGAAGTTATAACTTCGTCAAGAATGTTGTCGAAGTTATAACTTCGTCGACTCATATTGACGAAGTTACAACTTCGTCGTATAAATGTGACGAAGTTATAACTTCGACGATAATCGTCATCGAAGTTACAACTTCGACAATAAAATTTGTCGAAGTTAGCTTTATTTTATTTCCCAATAAATAATTTACTAAAATTGAATATCGTATTGCTGAATATATGAGAAAAATTTTTTTGCCTATATATACTATTTATTTAGCTATATAGTTGAATAAATAGTATTTATAGGCAAAAAATTTTTCTCATATATTCAGCAATACGATATTCAATTTTAGTGAATTATTTATTGAGAAATGAAATAAAAGTAACTTCGACAAATTTTATTGTCGAAGTTGTAACTTCGATGACGATCATCGTCGAAGTTATAACTTCGTCACATTTATACGACGAAGTTGTAACTTCGTCAATATGAGTCGACGAAGTTATAACTTCGACAACATTTTTGACGAAGTTATAACTTCGTCGACCGGTGTAACTTCGACACGACATATATATATATAAAGTATTTTATTCATAACGATATCGAAATACGAATGATAGATTTTTATTTATGATGTAGAGTATGATATAGGAAAATAAAAAAAATTTCAATTTGATTGCCACTAAGAATCTCATTTTTCTTTTGAAATAAATCAATAGCTTATTCGATGATATAGAACCTTCATGGGCAGATAAATATCGATCATTATTAGAAGATAATTATCACAAAAGATTTTTTGTATCAATTTTATATAATGTGGTCTCAAACAATCCTTTTAGAGTTACTTTTTATATTATATTAACCAATTTATTATCAAAGAAAGACACATGTCAATTATCTTAAATTGAGAAACGAATATATACATGAATTAATAATCGATTATTGATAGTTTGATTGAGACAACAAGCTCTTGGTAAAGATAGCCGACCATAAGAAGAAAAAAAAGGGATTTATCTAGTTGCTTATCTTCTCGTATCAATTTTCGTTCACTATTACGATTGTTTTGATAATTTTCTACAATGCACAAAAAAACGAAGTTCTCACCTTGAAATATGAGATAAAATATTGAAAACGGATCTGTTATGAAGGGGTAAAAGACTAGAATAAATTTCGTTTCTTTTGTTTAGTCAGTGAATGAGGCTGTTCGAAGAAATTCTCTAACTTTTTATATCGTCGACTATATTTTGCGATTTGATGAGAATTGAAATCTGCCCGAGTAACTATAGAATAACTTCAATGGAAAAACGTAAAATGAATATAAAGTGAACGTCACTATTGTGTTTTTAGCTGTGATATGATAATTTTTTTTAAAGAGTATCTAATTAACTTCGGATTCGGATTAATCATTTTTAAAAATCTAACGAGGGGTATATTTTAAACGATTGGTAATGAAAATGTTCATTAGTCTTATAACTGTAATAAGAAAAAATGTAACTCTCGGATTTAAATCCGAGGTTTCCACATTTATTTTTTCTATAAAAACACTAAAAGATGGTGCAAAGTTTTCACGTGTTTTTTTTGGCCTTCTTCTGAAGTTTTTGACCCCAAAACCATATTAAAATAGGATTTGAAGAAGACCTAAATGTAGAGTTATGTAGAGCGAAACTTGCTCTATCTTTTGAGATATTACTCGATTGAAATCGATAAGCTCTTAACAAAAAAAAATAATCACTTACTGAGAAGCAAAAAAAAGAGCATTTTTGAGCTTTGTCGAGAAATTTTCGAGTTTCTTACGTATCTATTCAAAGGTCAGTCAAGAAAGGCTAAAATTTTCGATTTCGAGCTTTTTCAATATGCTCTTTCATTTGCAATGATAAAAAACGGGGGGGGGGGTCAACATTTTTTGTGTGACACCCTATGTGAAAAATGGTCGATTGAGTCGTGGACCGTCTCTTAAATATTCTATTCTTCTATCTATTATTCTACGTTAAATAAAATTATTATTAATTTTTTCTAAATGAAATATTTAATATTTCATTTATTTATATTTTTTAAAAGGAGATTTATTTCGATAATGTCATTTGTTTTATTTAAAAGCTTTTCTTTTTTATATCAATATTGATATTGAATATATAAATGTTTGAAAATAGAATATCATATTAAATAGATAAATGTAATAAATCATCTTTTTTTCTACTCTATTAATTATTTCCATGACAATTAACTTTAACGAGAACAAAAAAATAAAGAAAAAATATTCAATAAGAAATTATTTATAAGTTTTTATTAATAATATGAATATGCATTGCATTGTAAAGATGATTTTAATTGTTAAATATAGGAAGTTTTTCTAAATCATTTATAATAACATGAAAATATGATTCTTTTAAATTGTCAATTGATTCTAATAATTTCGAATAAACTTTATTTTTCTCTTTTAAATTCAACCAAAAATTATATATATTTAATATTCTATTTTGATACGTTGGTAGTTGTTTTTGTTTAATTGCACAGAATTGATCGTTTATATATTTATCTGCCATAATGATAATGACATTTAATGCACAATAGAGATCAAATGTTCGTTCATATTCATAATGTATATCAAATGATGAATCCAATGGTAATTCAGAACAAAACTTCAGTAATTTTACGTTACCAAATGAAATTGCTCCTTCAATAGGTAACTTTTTTGTTATTTCATTGTTTTCAAATATTGTTGCAAAACCAAAATCAATTAATTTTATTTGTTGATTATCAAAATTACACATTATGTTTTTTGGACGTATATCACGATGTATTATATGACAATTATGTAAATATTCAATAACACTAATAAGTTGTTTTGACTGAATTAATGTTAATGATTCCAACTTGTTTAAGAACTTTTCAAAAAATATAAATTTACCTGAAAAAAATAATAAATAAGATAAAAATATTATTTGAATTGTTATTAAATAAATATATTCAATCTTAAATAAAAATTAATTTTCGAAAAAAATAAAAAATAAAAAAAATTATCATCGAAATTAATATCTGCCTGATAAATGCTCCTCCTTTTCCTCCTTTTTTCAAAATATCTTGTTCTCCTCCTTTTCATGCGCAACTTCTCTTTTTCCTCCTTTTTACTCTTGTCACTGTGAAATTGAATAGTTTCAACATCGGTCAAGATAAAATTCTGTACGAACTATTTGACACAATTGTCACTCTTCATGATATCTATTTCTGGTGTAATGAAGAATAGACTCTGATCAAACGATAGACTTCGGTAAAGAACTATTTCGGTAAGAGATCTAATCCTCAGCCTTGCATTAAATAAGAACCGTTGTGTGCCTTATGATACTTCGTATGAATGTTCTTCGTTTACGCAGATGTTTCTTTTCTTAGATGATTATGACGATGTAGTACATTGATATATGTTATAGTTAAGAAAGAAGTGCTTTATGAAAGGGATTAGTAAAGAGAAAATAAAGTAATGTTCGATGAATGATAGTCGATAACGATCTGTTTCTTGGGAGAAACAAATAACGAATGGCATAAATTTGGTAGAAAGAAAAACCGTCGAGAATAAGAAATGTTCAAAGAAAAAATATCTCAAGTACTATTAATGCAGCTTCAATTAATCGATTCACTAACACTGCATGAATAATCTGCAGCAACATCCATATCTTTCACTTATACATGAATAGTTTGTGCTGAAGCTGCATTAATGGCACGTTGAGATAGTTTTGCTTTGAACATTTTTTACTTTCGCCGTTTTTTCTTTCTACCAAATTTATGCTTATCCAAATAATAATTAGAGAGAAATATCTTTTATATATACTTAGCAATAATATAGTCACTCTCAAAATACACCTAAATGTTTTGCCAATAGCTATTTGCTAGTAGAAAAAAAGACTTCTAAGAATAAAATTCTATGAAATTTTTCGTTTTGAGTCCAGTTCTAATTGATGTTTCGATGAATTTTGTGTTGGGTTACTTATTACATTCTGTTATAGATTTTAACATCTTTTTGATAAGAACATTGATCTATTTTTCATGAATGGCACTGTTCGTATGAGTTTATTGGATTTTTTAGAAAAATCATGTTGAAGTTTTCAACTAATGCTTGGCCTAAGTAACAAACGAAAATAAAGGTGAGTACAGTCGCATTTCTCTTCTAATAATTCATGTAAATTTAACAATTTAACAAGAAATATGTCTCCTTTTCATCATGGCATGCATTAAAAATATTTTTTAACGACACATACCAAATTATTTTATGTTAGTCTCTTTCTGACGAAAAATAGCTTCTCTACACTTTACTCGAAAAATATACATGAAACGATATTAAAAAGTTTTTTTTTTAAACATTTTTGGTTCATATCTAAAAGGAAACATCTTCTTATGAACTGCTAAATCATATTAGTTTTAGTATGAAACTGATCTGAACTTCTTAATGAATTGATTATAAAAACACTGAAAATTATTGTTTAAGCTTCATTTTTTTTTGTATACATTTGTTGGATAAGAGACTCAATAACAAGCGAATATCGTTTCTTTTCAAAGTAAATTATGACATCTTCTAGAGGCCTCTATGATTGGAAGAATTATTTCCTAGATACAGATAACTGTTCAGTTTAACTTCTATGAGATAATAAGGCAACTATAGAACGTTGAAAGTCTAAGTAAGTTTCTTGGTTCGTCATAAATAGACGTGTTCATGCGTTTGAAATATGAGAACGTCTTTCTTACAGGAAAATGCTATATCCTCCTTTTTTCTCCTTTTTCGAAAGCTATCCTTCGAAAAAAAACATTTCGAAAGCTATCCTTCGAAAAAAAACATTTCGAAAATCATCCTGAATCTTCCGTTTTTTTCCAAATGACTGTTCACATGCCAGATTAATATATTATATTATGAAATGTATTCAATTTACAAAAAAATTAAACTTATTTTAAGATGAATATTTTTTATTAATAAGAATAATTAATCAATAAATCATTTTCTATGTTAGATGTTAAAATATAATAGAAATTCAATTATAAAATAAAATAATAAATACATATGTTAGAAAGAAACTAAACTATTTTTATATTGAATAGAACTATAAAGATTTTTCTACATCTATTCATTGTCAATAATTATAAAAATTTTCTTGAAAATATTATTCAAATTGATTTTCAATTGTAAAACATATTCGAAATTATAAACGAAATCTATGGAAAGAAAATCTATCAGATACTTATTTACACTTAACTAGAATATACATTAGCAATGACTTTTTCAGAATATATTAGTTAAATTACAAATAAAACATTTTTACTTATTTTAGTTTTACTTCGAATAGATAATAAAAAAAAAAAAATCATATTCAATTCTAAAATAAATCTTCCATAGTTGTTCTAATTTCTTAGAACCTTATTTAATAGAATTTCCACATTTTTTTGTAACATTAAAAGTGAATAATTTCCTATTTTATTGGTTAATTAACTGTCGGATGGTCAAGCGAAGTCCATCTGGAGCCCAGAATATGAAATAGACATTCAAGAAAAATATCTCGGTATTTTAACTATTTTTAAATATATCTCTCTCAATCAGGTTATGAGAATGTTTTCTCTTTTCTTTTGATATTATTATTATCACAGCGTCATTGTGAACAGTACCATATAACAATCATAGATCTTTCTTCTCTTGTGTTCTGTTGATATTCATCGATGAAACGCATCTATTTCCACAATCTATTTTTGATTTCTTCTAGTGCATTTCTCTTTTTCCTTTCCTGTTTACTTTACATTTCATGTATATCCTTTCTCTCTTGCATTCCTTTTGTACATGACCTAACATCTAGTCTATTTTCAATATTCTTGTCCAGAATCTTCGAGATTATTATTGTCTCAGGATCTTTAGTATATATATATATATATCCGCCCTTTAATTTAATATCGGCAAGAATACTGGTTCATCAATCAAAATCATAGAATACGAATAGATGTTCTAATATTATCTCCAAGAATTAGTTTGCCCATCCGAGGATTGAATTTCCAAATGACCCGATGAGACTTTTTTTTATTTTCTCTTTGATCAAAAACTTTTTTTATTTTCTTCTATTTTTTAACAATAATCTTATAAATAATCATTCTATCTATTTCATATTTTCCTCATCAATCTCTTTCTTTATATGTAAATAAGATGTTCAAGAATCCATTAGACAATAAATATTTTTCTTATTATTCAATGAAACGATTTGATCATTTTTTTTCTATGAGTAAAAGACAGATTAAAGCTTTTATTCATGATGGAACAATTCATTGATATATATATAAAACTAGAAAAATTTTCTTTCCGTATAAGTCATCACATGATATTCATGACCAATCGTGCTCAATTGATCTGACAGATTTCAATGAAACTTTGCCTATATATAATCGTCAAATAAGATATGAAAATACTTTAAATTTTAACTGCTAAAATCGTTCTCTTGTAGCGATATTCAAACAGGAAACGAGACACCCTAAAGTCAAATATGAAGGTATCCAATTTGATATCCATACATTCTATATTTCACCAATTTTTCAACAATAAGATTTTTAATAATGAAATTTTGTGCATATATACTACCATTGAGATCCAGCATATTGATACACTCAAAACCATAATGCATTCGAAGAGATCTTTGTTCGGATCAAATTCAAAAGGTCAAAGCTTTGAAAATTGCTACTGATAGTTGACAGTCAGTAGTAGTTAATTCCAAAGTGGAATCTCATAGATCGGTCATAACCGATAGAAATCGTCATCACAAGGCAGAGACTATTATATCTAGGAACTATGAAAACTCTCTATATTGTCTAATACGTCGAAATATGATTTTTAGTGTATCAATATGTTGGATCTCAATGGTAGTATATATGCACAAAATTTCATCATTAAAAACCTTATTGTTGAAAAATTGGTGAAATATAGAATGTATGGATATCAAATTGGATACCTTCATATTTGACTTTAGGGTGTCTCGTTTTCTATTTGAATATCACTACAAGAGTACGATTTTAGCAAATAAAATTTAAAGTATTTTCATATTTTATTTGACGATTATATACAGGAAAAATTTCATTGAAATCTGTCAGATCAATTGAGCACATGGTTCACTTTTGGCTCGTCTCCATCGTGCAATGGCTCCCATATAGTTAAATAATAATTAAATGTTTGTAGTTGATAACTATAGTCGAAAAGTGTAAAATATTTTTTTATTTGTTTATGAAGCAGTATGGCAGATGTCTTATAAATCATTGTTGATTCTTTAACAAAATCAAAGTTAAATAATGAATTGAGTTAGTTATTAACATAAAATTAAAATAATAAAGTTGTTTTCGGATAGCACATTAATTGAAATAAAAGTTGAATCGTGATACAATGAAGAAAAAAAATTAGTTTTATGTATTATCGATGATATATCTATTCATGAATAAAAACTTAGATCTATTCTCTACCCTTAAAGAAAATGAGCTCATTTTGTGGAAGAATTATGAAAATATTGAAGTCGTTTTTTTTTGTTTAGTGAATTCCTAGACAACTTATATATATGTATATATTGATGAAAAAAAAGAATATTTTATCTATGTATATAATGTTCAATGTCTACCTGTGTGGGTCTATTTCTCTGTGACAGATCAGAGATCAAATAAGGCTATAAGAAGGAAGGTCTCAAGGACTATTATATGGGGATACCCATAGGTCCTCAAGGGCTAATATATGGGAGCACCTATAGATCCTCAAAGGCTATTCTATGGGGTACCCTATAGGCTCTGCAGGTGTAAGAGAATCTTCTATATATATAATGTTCAGTGTCTGTCTGTGCCAGGTCAAAGGATAAAGGTTGAATAAGAGTATAGGCGGGTAACGCTATATGGAGTCAGGCTATAGAAGCATGGACTGTAAGGGGAGTAAGACTACAGAAGGGTAAGGCTACAACGAATTAAAGCTATAAAGGGATAAAATTATAGAGGGGTAGGACTATAACTAGGTAAGGCTATAGAGGGATGGACTATCAAGGAGGTAAAGTTATAAAAGGGTAAGAGTGTAGAGGCTTAGGACTATAAGGGGTAAGGATATAGAGGGCTAAAGCTATGAAAGGGTATGTTGTAGGGCTTTTCTGTACATCATATTGAGTGTGTGTATCTGTGTTACTGAGTGAACGATTAAGGGTTTGAGGGCAGATGTTAGAAGAAAAAAAACAAGCGTGCAGTATGCATAGGTTCTCGCTAGTATATTTATATTAAATAAAAAGTTTAATTGGAATCTCTTTTCAATCGAACTCTTATATTTATTTCAATATAAAGATAAAAGTAAACGTATGTAATACTGTTTTCTTCTTTTTTTTTTGTTTTATTAAGAAAAAAAGAGGATCTGAAAAAAGAAAAATTCATGAATTAATAAAAGAATTTAAATATTTTTTTTCCAGTTTATATTATAAGAATATATTTTATTCGATTTATTTTCTTAAGATAAAATCAATCTTTTAGTTATTTATTTATAATGATGAATAATTCTTTATTTGTAAATTTCATTGAAAAAGAAAAAAATACTATTGAAAAAAAAAAGAATAATTTCTATAAAATTAGTTTCTAATTAAATCCTCTATTTCCTTATATTTTTCTAAATTCTTCAAAAATCAAACAAAATTTTCTCAATTTTATTTTTCAATAGGTTATTAAATTATTGAAAACATTAAAAATTTTTTTTTAATAAACAAATCTTACCTGTAGGTGAATAACTGAAAATATTTTCAAAAAATAAATCAAATTTATTTGAATTTGAAGTTTTTAATTTTTCTAATATTTTAACTTCATTGATAAAATATTTTGAATATTTATCATGTTTAGAAATTTTTATTATCGAACATATTGGATTATTAATTAATTTATCATTATTTGCTAATAAATAAACGAATGAAGTTGCACCATTTCCTAATCCCATTTTAATATGAAATATATCATCATATAAATAATCATCAGTATTTATATTTAATGTTGTGTATCCATAAAAGTTCGTATCCATTGTTAAAAATTTTATAAATATTTTCAGTGTTTTTTCATTAAAATATCTTGTTGGTGCACTTGTATTTATTTGATTAACAAATGATGATGATGATGATGATGATGCTTTCGGCAAACCATAAAACATTTGGAAGTGTTCACTTTGATAATAAACAATTGATGTATCATTTTCCTGTTTAGCACAATAAAATCTTATACTGTTAATATTTGTTATAAAACCATAGGCTTTGCCACGTTGTTGTATTTGTAATATATAAGTCATATAACGCAACAATTGTCCAACTGCTTTCGGTGCATCAATAGACTTTATTGATGATTTTAGTTCACCAACACAAACTACAAAATGTTGTAAAGATTCATGTTCATCGTCTGGATAGATATTAACATTTTTGTATATAAAGCTACAATCAGGAGCTTTACCCTTTAAATAATTTCTTTTACATGTATTTAAATACTTCAATGATGTTGAATTATTAAATTGAGAAAATAAATCAATTAATAATTGATTAAATGTATTTTGAATTTGATCTTCTAATATATTCTTAATTGATTTCAAATGATCAAAATTATTTTTAATAACATTTATCATATCTTCATTAACATCATTATAATTATTTAATAAATTTGTAATATCGAACGAATCAAGATTTTCTTTTACACTTAATTCGTAAAAACCACCCTCATCTATTAATGAATCCAAAACTTCACTACTTAATGTAATATATTCTTTAGGATCTATTTTCATTCGTTTTATGTCTTTGGCTTCTTCTCTTTTTCTTTTTTCATTTGCAAGCCGTAACTGTTCTGTTTTTTCTTTTTCAATGACTACATCGTGTGCTTTTGACTTTTCTTTTGTTTGTTCAATGACTACATCGTGTGCTTTTATGACTACATCGTGTGCTTTTGACTTTTCTTTTGTTTGTTCAATGACTACATCGTGTGCTTTTATGGCTGCATCGTATTCTCTAATTTTTAGTATTGCATTCAATTGTTCCACACTGAGTCCCGCATAAGGATTATTCGTATCCATAATTTTGTTAATTATCAATTTGTTATTTATCTATAAAGTGAAAAAAAAAATTCTTGATGAAGTTTATGAAATTAGATATAAGATTGAGATAAGTTCGATACATCTGCAAGTAGAAACAAAGTGACCATTGTTTAAAAGACATCGTTTTATTCTATGGTTGAGATAAGCTGCACACACTGGCATGTACAGACAAAAATCGCCATTGCATCAAAATGACGTATAGCCTCTAAAATCCGAAAGAGGGCGTTTCATATCACTTTTTGAATTCACAAGTGCATTTCTATATCATAGTGAAAAAAGAGAAAACATTTGTAAAAATATTCAAATTATTATGAATTTAATGCGACAAAAATCATAATATATAATAAAAATTCATACTGCAAGTAATAAAGATATTTAAAAAAGAAATAGATAAACCCTGAGTTGTTTTTGAGTTTTTCCGAAAAAAATGTCGCAAGATAATGATCAAAGATTTACAATGAATAAAATAAACAAAGAAAAAATACTAATAAATGGTGTTGGTTCATTCTTCTTTCAAATAGAAAAACGAAAATATACTATTCTTTAGTTTAAAGCCAGTTTCTTTCCAAAAAAAAACCTACAAAGAAGAAACAATCTATTATCAAAAATAGTGTTTTTTCGTTCATATAGATAGTATGAAATTTATCACTTGAATTTCTTAAAGCTTTTAATAAAAGGATTACTCAGAACTAATTTAAGATAATGGTAAAAAATTTTGATACAGTATGTTTGTTTTGCTAATGAGTACCTATAAATCATCATAGAGAATGAAATATAGTTAAAGAAAAAAGCAGAGGTTTTTTGCTTTCTGAATCTCTTTGCAATTGTGTTTTTGCTAGTTATCATTCTTGCATTATATATGTTTTTGGGTGACATGAGCATGTTCAAATTTGTTTATTCTCATATTAGATGTTCAGTTAATCATAGATGAGAAAAGAAAACCTTCCATCGTACAAGTTTTGATGATATTTGAGCTATTTTTCCAAAAATAAAACTCGAAAAAAATATTAATTCAAGTATTGCTCATGAATGAGAAGAATTGTCTCACGAAAACTTAAAATCTTAATTATGTAAGACACTTTTATTTTCGAACAAGTATTTGAAGCTTGTATAAAGTCTGAAAAAAATATACCGATGAAATCTATTGTCTATTTGAACTCTTGTCATGATCCAAATAAACGTAATTTCTTTTCCATGTTCTTTCTTTTGCATTAACATCAACAAAACATACCATTTGAAACATTAAAAGCTTATTCTTTCTCTTCTTTTCATGTAGCATTTCCAAATGTTGTTACATCAAGTAAACTTATCAAATATCAAAACGTCTTGTGTCTTATCCATATTACATATACGCATTCATAAGATATGATGTTGTTGAGAAAAAAAGTTAAACATGCTCAAATATAGTTCTATTTTAAATCTTAAATTCTTTCTTCAAACCGGTATTCTGTTTTTTTTTATAACTCCTGCTTATTGGGAATTAATCCGAAAAAAAACAAGCTACTTTATTGAAATTGCTTAAGTGATCAGAATGAAATTTCTTTCTTGTTTCTAGCAAAAATTTGCAATAGAATTTATGTAAAATTTGATTCGGTTTCATTGACGTCATCTAGTCATATGTTCCACGGTGCTCGTGTAATCGTATATCTAACGTTTAGCTTTCTATGGTAGTGTTACTGCCTATTATTGCATGTTCAATCGACATTATTAATATGATTATTAATAATGTAGCACATATTTGTGGGATATTTTTCGTATGTTACGCTGTTGAAAGAATCAGTTTCCCATAAAAATAACAAACGAATCTTTCGCGAGTCCTTTAATTCAAATGAAATTGTTTACATTCTCCTCTTTTAATCGACAGTAATAGTCATTCTTCTTCTTGTTCGTACTATTGTTTTTCTTCAAACTGTTATAAAGATTCAGATGTGTGCACGTGCGTCTATGTGAAAAATAAAAGATATGACAAATGCAACTATAGTTATCTTGTGATCCAGTGGCGTAGCCAGAATTTTTTGAGCATTGGGCCATTTCTCAGCTAAAATATTTTGAGACATGGGCCGCATTGGGCCATTGAAAATTAATTGGGCCGCAACTGAATGTTGTCAAACGTTTATTACTACCCCCGAATCTACTTTTTTTTGAAGGTTATTTGTGGTTACCAGATTAGAAACGACCGTATTTGCTAATATTCTTTTTATCATAAATTAATTCTTTATTTCCAAATAACTATCTATTTATTTCTACAACCAAAAACATGATTAATCATAAATAGAACGAAAAGAACATCAATAAATAGAAATTCTACTTATTGATTGTTTCTGTTATAAAAATAATACAAGAAGCAGCATAAGTAAGAAACTAGAAAAGAAATAGTACAAATACAACAAAAACCATTATAAACCAAAATTTAACCGTCGTGGATGTTTTTGTACAAATAAATCGAGAATTTTCATAGCATCAATGTCTACATTTTTATGAATAAACGCAGCAGCAAGTCCATTGAGTCGGTTTTCAATCATTGTTGATCTACAATAAGTTTTTATACGTTTGAGTGAGCTGAATGCGCGCTCTGTTGAGCTGGTAGTAACTGGAAGAGTAGCAAGAAAAACGAGTAAAAAGCGTACATTCGGATAGAGAACTAAATCACATTTATCAAGTAAATCGTTCATCCACATGTTAACATAATTTGGTTTATTCATCAAATTGACACATTCATTTTTCCATCTTTCTAATTCACCAAAAAGTTGAAAAGGTTGTGGCAAACGATCTGAAAATTTTTCGATAAAATTTTTATATAACTCCATGATTGAACAATTTGTCGAAGTGATATGTTCTGGTCGTAGTTGAGTAAGTAATTGTATACATGGCTGACTGAATATGGAAAGACGATTCTCGATATTTGCTTTTAACTCATGTAGAAATGGACGAAATACTTGATCTCGATAAAATTCTTCTGGATCAGGTTGGCAGCCATGACGTCGTTGATATGTACGTGGAATTGCAGGTTGTACAAATAATTCTTCAGATATTTGTTTAGCTTGTTCAAAGACAACATTTTTGAAATAATCAGCAGCATTAGTTTCTCTTGCTTCAAAGGTGTTGAGTAACGATAAAATTTGTTGATGAGCAATAGCAAAATCGATAGTAGGCGTTTGTAAAATTCGACTGACAGGAGTAATTTCGCTGAGAAGAAAACATGCAATACATGAAGATGCAATTGTTTCGAAACTATTGATTGGATGATATAATTGTTCCGAAGTTGAGTCTCCTTCGATGCGAAGAGAGTCAAGAGTATTCAATATTGGAACGTATAATTCAAGAAAAGTTTCAAGTGCGACATTACGTTCAACCCACCGAGTTTCGCACTGCAGTAAAAAAAATTAGATTAATCAGAATTAGACAATATTTTTATTCTGCAAGAACTTCTCTGAATGAAACAGAGAGGAACTATGTGAATAGGTTTATCATTGAGTCATGTGTTAGATTTAAAAAGCTGGACTGTGTAAACTGCATAAATACAAAAATCTTTAGAAATTCAGTTACTTTGAATCACAAACTACAATCTGCTTCATAATAATATCGCTCAAAACAATATCATATGAGAAAAGAAAACATTTCTAGAATCATTTTCTTCAAGAAATGAGCAATCTGACAGTCGTAATCACATTCTTTATTTTCAACTTAATTCCTTTTTGTTAGGTTAAAAACATAAATATAATATTTCTAGAAATGCGTATCTCTTTGATAAAATATCTCTCAACTAAATACAAGTGCCAAAGCATCTCAAGATTAACTATTCTGAAGAGAAATGTCGAAGAACAGAAAGTCGTATAAAAAATTTGGGTGCTTGTTCACTTTAAACACACTCTGTACACTAATTGGCGTGTTTAACACACGCACATCAAAGAGTGTGGGTGAGGGGATGTGTCGAAAGTGAACAAGTACCGAAAAATTTATTGGGCAATAACTTTTTAACTATTGGGCAATTGCCCAATGGCCACCCCCCTGGCTACGCCATTGGATACCTACATCGATTCATCCACTTTCAGCTTCAAAATAACTTAGTGCTATCGATGATAGCATGAAGTTTTCCGATGATGAATATAACTCCGACAATGATGTAAATGATTTTCATGGCTCCACTGAAACAGTCAACAACAGCGCCGATACAGAATTGGATTGGTAATAAGAACGTAGATTATCGTTTTGACTGCTTTCATACTAATATTTTCATTATTGTATTTGCGTTATTCGCTTCATGATGATTGTTAACACATTCATCAAAAGAATCTAATTCGAATCATCAGAAACTCGATGAACCACTTCAGTAGTGACTAAGTATCATTTACCATTTTCTTTTCAATAAGGTACTAATCTATCACATCATCCTCAATATACATCGATCTAGAAATTTCCTAGAGAAAGATAACACCAGCATAATTATAATTTATATTATCATTTGATTCATGAACATCTGGATGAAGCGCTTAACATCGGTCATTAATTGATCAATTAATATAAAAAATAAATTGCTCATCAAATACATATATTTTGCTATAGGTGTTGAAAAACAAATCAAAAGTCTTTTTTTTTCATATATAGTCATGTCATTATGTGACATTTTTGACTTACGGGCCCACTTTTTAAAATTCTTAGAAATAGATAATTTTGTAGAGCTTGAAAAGCTCTTTCGAATGATATATAAGAGAAATTTGGACAAGGTTGTTTTTATAAAAAATCACGCATATAATTGTAAAAAAGAAGGCAAAAAAATCATTTTTTTTATATATACCCAACTCATTGTTTGCCTTTTTTGACCTACGGGCCCACTTTTCAAAATTCTTAGAAATAGATAATTTTGTAGAGCTTGAAAAGCTCTTTCGAATGATATATAAGAGAAATTTGGACAAGGTTGTTTTTATAAAAAATCACGCATGTAATTGTAATTCGTATATGACATATGTGAAATATAAGGTCATAGTATAGACAATGAAGGATCTGTATTTCATCTGGCAACAATATAACTTTATTAGGAAAATGTAGACTAACGAAAGATCTATCAGAAAAACTTTGAATTAATGTTCATCCTTGGTTTTCTTTCTTGAAATGGTTTATCATAATATTATAGTGTTATTGGCTAACTGATGGTTGATGGTGTGGTGAATGTCAGACCCTGATGACACTTAGAATCTTATGACAACATATCAAATTTAGCATCAAAATGATCAGGAGGCTTTACTCTATCAGTTCATATATGATTTAATTAATTTTAGTAATGAAAATCAAAAGGGGCCAAAATGCGTTCTTATGCGCCCCCGTCCTTTACATATTCACATTGTTTCATGATAACATGTCGTTTAGAATAAAACTGGCAATCCAGCTTTATTTTCATATCTTACTTACTTGTTTTGTGAAACACGATCTAAAATGAGTGTGAAAGTATAACGGATAGAAATTTGGATCCACTTCCTCTCTTTTATGGACGTGACAGATATTTAGGAACAGTTTATCACAAACATGACAAACATCTTATTATAATAACACATGACATACGTGACAGGCATTCTTAACAACATCACAGATCCTGACAGTCTCAAGGATTTGACCATCGAAGTGCAGAAGGTGCATACCCTTTACTTTTAGAAAATTTTTCAGTTTTTGCTAGCAAAAATCGTTCTTTTTATCGGAAGAAGAGACTACGATGGAAAAAATAATCGCCTCCCCCCTCCCACTTTTTTTGTAAAACACGATCTGGAAAGGAGTGTTGTAGTATATGGGTAGAAATTTTGTATCGACTCCCCCAGACCCGGCAGACATCTTGGCAACGTCTCTCCCGCCACAGACCGTGACAGACATCACTCTGGGACCGTAACAGACATAGTATCAAAACTGAAGTTTTTGACGAAATTATTATGCAAGACGATAGAATTTAAGATGTGTGTCGCTCTGTTTCCACATTCATCTTAGGAATATATAGTAATTGAAAAACTAACACGTAGATTGCTGAATCCTTTCGTTTACAACACAGTAAGTTCGATCGTGTTTCACATTTTAATCCCGCAGGGATTATGCTAATAGCTTTTCTCTTTGCGACATCTCTGAACAGTCGTTACCAGAGAAACGTCACAGACCACAATAGGCAGGATCAATAGAGCATCGCAGACTGTGATAGACGCCTTAAGAATGGCTCATTATAGACTCTGACAAGCGCTTTAACAACGGACTATTACAGACTAAGACAAATGTCTAAAGTTCCACTTTTACAGTTTCAGCAGCTCCATTATGCTTCATATTTGAATTCCACAGGATTTACGCTAACAGCTTTTTTTTCTTATAGTTTACGCTTTATGTTTTCATCAGAGGATTCGCTGTCATATTCCACATTTAGAAGAGTAAGTTTTACTCTTCTAACTACTGATCCATTCATCTTTAAAGAACAGCAGAATTAAAAATCAGTATTGCGTACAACTTTGTAAACGTTCGCTTTTTTCCTTGATTATCTTCTGAAAATATCCAATTTTCGAAATGAATTCTTATATTTTTGACGTGTGAGTTTGGTGGAAAAAGTCGCAAGAGAAAAATATCGAAAGCGATAACATCGAAAATGGAAATTGCATAAAAGGAAAAGATCGAAATCGAAATTTGTGAAGGAAAATGTTGAAATGATTAGTCTATTGCTTATAATGCACATGATCATTTACTATACTTTATTAATTCAGAATAGAAAAGACAAGAGAACACTCACAATATAAAAAGATCTTTTTTTTTTCATTTTCATTTAACAATGGTAAACGTGATTATGGTTACATTGTATTGATTTTCTTAACAAAATCTGTCCTGCAGAGTATTAAATATCAATTGAAAAGCTGTTTTTTTTTTGCCGATTTGTTTCGCCTGAATAAGTAACTCATATATTAATAATGGTTTACCTCTGTTCGTTGTAGCAAACGATCTCTCAGATTCAAGAGAGAAACAGCAGATTTCAGTTCCTTGCAGTGTTGTGGAATCGCAGAGTTCGCCATTTCCCTCCGTGCTCAGATTGTTGACTTCTACATGAACTGTTTCCAAAACATGAGTTTGGTGTCATCTCGACTATAAATCTGTTTAATGTTGCATAATTCTTTTTATTTGATAAAGAATAAAATGTGCTAGTTGAAGAGTGACCAATAAGAAGAAAAACAACGGAATCTTGTTATTGTCATCTTTAACAGTATTTGACGTTTTCCTCTTCCACATTTTCCTTTCGATCGTTTTCTCGATGTTTTCGTCAATCCGTGACGTGATATGATCGCCAATTAAGAGATGAATTAATATATTTCAACCAACATATTCAAGTCGATTTAGTTGATGAATTGAGCGAAGAAAGTGTCCATATCAAAAACATCAGCATTTGTATAGGAATTGAATATTGTCAAACGAAAAAAGTCAACAACATTTTCAAAGTTATTTAATGGTCTTTTTTTTGTCAGATTGTTGTCTAGAAGAGGAAAAACCGACCTCGAGAGTCCTCATAAGAGTTCTAAAAGTTTGCATAGATTTGAAAAAATTTTATGAACTTCATAGCATTTCATGGGACTCTGAAAGATTTTAGAACTCTATGTGGGTTTACTCATGAAGTCTCTGCTACTCCCGTTTCTCCGTGAGTTGTCTAAAGACGAAAGACTCAATAGTTTTCGAGTGAAACTTACTTTTTTGTGTGGAATTACACAATGAATCTTTGGATAAAAAAAACTAAAGTATAAACTATCCGGGAAAAACGATAGGGAAAAATAGAAAGAATTCATATTGAAAAGGAAAACTGCTTAAGAATGTTCATCTCTCTTGTTTTCTACTAAATCATATCGACAAATGGTAGTACAATATCTAAAATAAAATTCTTTTCTTTTTTGAAAGGACGCAATAGAACTTTTGACGAGTCAGAGTTTCTAATGTCATTGGAAATCTTATCAAATATGAGACAATACCAAGAAATCGATAATCCTTTTCGCAATGTTACAAAAATTCAATTTGGAACCTATTTTGATCGAATGAGAGGTTAGTGTTGATTTTGTTTTTTCTTTTTTAAGGTTTCATGCAAACAAAACTTAGTCTTTATCAAAGCTGGGCAAATCAAAAATGGCTTAAGTCCAAGTTAAGTCTGCCTTGATTTGACTCGATCGAAAAAATTTCAGATATGATTTGACTTGAAAATTTTATCAAGTCAAGTCAATTCATATCGGAAGGAATTTTCGTTTATTTAATGCATTTTTTTGCCATGAAATCGAATTGTGAGACTCCAAAAAAGTCATCTCTCACATGAAAGATATTGGCAAATTTCATGTTCTGACTAATTTTTAATCAGACTTGGCTTGATTTGATCAAAAAAATTTTGATGGTATGATTTGACTTGACTTGTGACTTGAAAAATCTCTGATTTGCCCAGCTCTGATCTTCGTTTACATCCAAACAAAACTATTTGTACATTTTTATAATTTCAAATATTACTTCAAATTAGCTTTTCGTTTATAGTAATTGTCATGAAGTGAAATTTTTCTCTTATCTCTTACATATATTATAATTCATCGATATAATGAGCATATTAACGTGGACTTTTCGATCATTAGTATTGAGAAGAATTCATGTTATTAGTCATGAAAAACAAATGATTTATGGGAAATATTGATTGATTTCTATCTAGTTTATCGACGAGTATTGAAGCTTTGTATGCGAACTTTGCTCATCATTAAAAAACCATATTGTATCTGCCAAAGGCTTTCGTTTACTTGGATACATATACACATGGGATGGTGTCGGTTATTATTCTGCAGACCATGATCTATATCTTGTTTTGCGCTTTTTCTCAGTTTATGTTTTCTTAACCGCGCAATTCAGATTGCTCCGTCCAGGCTCATTTAATATATTTATATCATTTTTTTTGTTTGAAAGAGTAGGTCAAGATGCAGTGCAATACAGAGTCCTTTTTTAAATTAAGCTTGATTTTTATTAGTATAAGCAGTCACTTATGTAAATTGGTGTCCATTTTTAGCGGGTCTTTCAAGTCATGGAAGCTTGTGATCCCGTTTTCCGCTTAAAAAGTAAGAATTAAAAAAAAAAAACTCTGTACTGCACTGCATTCTGACATGCTCTTTCGAACAAAAGAAAATTTGAATATATTGAAAGAACCCGAATAGAAAAAAATGATTTGCTAAATGAGCTATTTTTGACCGTTGTTTGGTTCATATCTCTGTCAAATGTCATGGTATAGGGCTGAAAATTTTACTACATCCTTCCCACTTCAGTCCCAACATGCCCTGAAAATTTCACGCGATTTGAATGTACTTGACCCGGAAATCGATTTTTGAGGGTGACCTTATAAGCTATAGCTTAAAGTCCCTAAAAGACTTCATCAGACTTCAAGAGACTTCCAAGACTCCATGAGACTTCAAGGTCGAAGTCTTTGCTGTTGCCCCTATATTATAATATAACGAAGTACTGGTTTTTTTTTAAACACAATCTGAGAAGAGTGTTGAAATATAAGGATTGGATCCATCCCCTTTCCCATAGACCGTGACCGACATTACCATGAAAACATCACAGACCAGGACAGACAACACTATGAAAATCATGACAGAGTGTGATGCACATGACTAACTTACCATCATGACTATCGTGACAATATTTCGTTCCCATCACAGACCGTGAC